AAGAAAGATTGTCATGTTAGTAGGGTTTCTAGTTATCTGTGTGGTAGTAATCTAATCATAATGTAAGTCGACAAGGGTGGAGCAGTGGTAGACATGGGTAAGTCACGTAATGTAGAAAAAAATGCTAGTTCATTTAAATGACAATGACACGTATAGACCTTTACTGAGAGACTAGGATAAATGATGCCCTTAAGATATGCATACGTAATGGTGAAATGGAGAAGTAAAAAGTGAATTTACTACTGCAGATAGATGCAAGGGCCCCCATGGCATACGGTCTCCCTAAGATTGACAAAGAGGGTGCACCCCTAAGATTAATTGTAAATAATAAAGGAAGCGTAATGTATAAAATCTCACGGTTTTTATGCATACAGTTAAGGAACTCTGCCAATTATTGGCTATATTCAATTAAAAATTTGTATGATTTTGTGAAATTACTAGATCAACAGACAATTTCAAAAAACGATAAGCTAGTAAGCTTTGAAGTTGATTCTATTTACACAAACATTTCTGTCAAAGGAGCTATTCAAGCTCTGATACAAACTCTGGAGGAGTATCCAGAGATAACACAAGGAATAAGGATGAGTTTAGCTTCCATTATTAGACTTATCAACCTATCCATAAGTACCACGTATTTTATCTTTGATAGTAAGTTATACGAACAAACGCAAGGATTAGTGATGGGATCCTGTCTATCTCCCAGCTTAGCGAACAATTATATGACAAGATTTGAGGAACACTTCCTGCAAGAGGCAATACTAACACCCAAATTGTTGGTTAGATACATGGATGACTATTTTGTCATCTGGCCTCATGGTAAGGACAATTTAGATAGTTTTCTACTTTCACTCAACTAGTGTGTAGAGGAAAATTATGTTCACGAAGGAAATGGAAGATAATAAGTCCTTACCTTTTCTGAATATTCTCATCACTAGAGAAGAGGGTAAGTTAGGAAGAGATTTTTATAGGAAGCCAACATATGTTGGCTCTGCTTAATTTTCTTGAAAACAATATTTACAAGACTAAGGCTGGAATTTTGAAGTCAATGATTCTTAGAAGTATAAGGACAGCGGATAGCAAACATTTGACTAAAGAGTTGCAACAGCTGATAAATATATTCCTGGGAAATACTTATCCTTTAGGCCTTATTGAGAATAATGTATCTATATTGAGGAACTAATTTTCATACGGAGACCATTTAGTCAAAGAGAGACAGACTTTTTCCAATGTCCTAATTTTGCCGTCATGCCTTCTCAAAAAAAAAGATAGGCGAATTAGTAAAGAAGTGGGGCGTTAAAACAGTGTTCAAAGAAGGTCTCACTGTTTCTTCTGTTATGTCATCTTTTAGAGAGAAATATGACCCATTATCGAGATCCGGCTGCTACAAGACTGTTTGCTTATTTTGTGACATGCAGACCTATTCTACAAAGATTGGGATAACACAGAAATGCTTGTAAAGCAAGCTGGGTCCAACGGACAGAAGTGGCCGAACACGCATGCCAGAGACAGGGCATGAGATAGGATGGTCTCAAACGAGTAGGTTTGCTGATTATGGTACGTCTGTGGTTAAAAGAAAGATAAGATAGGCTATTGAAATTAATAGCTTAGCAAATACGTTAAATGTGAGGAAGTGTGGTACAACGTTGAGTAGGAACTACTTATGCTTGAATGATAGATTGAAAGAGAGAGAGGGTGTTGAGCCGCCGTCCAAAAGAAGATGACTTAATTTGTCTGCTCGGTGATGGTTTTAACTTCCCTCACATTCGTCCATCATGTTAAAATAAGCTCATCAACCAAACCAGACACATCAGATGACGCAACCCTAATCTTGCCTTTTCTTGAGAGATTAAACGTTAATGACCCTAGACTGAGAGGTTGGGACAAGTGGTTTCGTAACTTGACTTTCATGCTTGCAAACTTATATCTCATTATCTCAACCATACTTGTTTATGGACTTACGCAGTCTCGGTTAGAACTTTCTCTTGGGTCATTAGGTTTTGATAATCAGAGCCTGATATTAGCCTTTTGATACCTCTGATTTAGCACCAGTATTGCGTATAGACACTAACATACACACACATACACACAATCACACATTCGAGCAAAAGTAGCAGGTTCGGTATGAAAGATAATTAGCCAAACCACTCTATAACTATCTATGCCTATTAATTCGTTATGAGTATATATTGGAGTTAAGATAGAGCCGAATAGTCTTCCTGACCTTGTGTTGGCATAAGACTTTTACAAGAATGAGTCCAAATTCTGATTATGTTGAGTATTTGATGAACGAAAGATTAGCCCATTTTCACCCAAACGAGCGAGAAGGTCTCGTGGACTGCGTCAATCTGAACGTCGTATAAAAGCCAACGGCTGCAGTACAACGAGATTCAGCAATCCTATTCTGGTGAGATCGACCAACGAATCTCTTCTTCATTCACTTTTATGCGATCTGAAAATCCCCCTAATAATATTATCTCAAGAGATTCGTCGAAACCCAGTTTCTCTTCATATCTGAAATGAAAGTCCTCCCAACAAGTGAAGGCGGGCCAATTGAAGCAGAGTTGAGGCACAAGCGCACCACTCGACATCCGTTCGTCACGTTTCGAGTGGCTTAAAAGGTGTAGAAATCGATTTGCTCCTCCATATCTTGGCCGACTGAGGCGAGCTCATATGAACTCAGGCGAGCCACAAAGTGCCCACCTCTGTCCGGTCCGACCGGGATGGATGCAGACAGGCGGGTCCTAAGCCGGCCCTCCGCGAATTGTGGTGCTGTCATAGAGTCGGTGGAAAACAAAGAAAACCTTCTGGCTCCGGACACTTTTGAGCAGGTCAACTTCAACCTGCCCAGTCGGTTCACGGCCGAAGAGGTGAGCGCCACTCAGTTGCCCAAGATCTACGGCCTTCCGGCCAAAGCGAGCATTCTGCATCTGGTGCTCTCGGTGCCCGGCCTTCGGGTGCTGGAGCACGAGGAGCAGTTGAAACGCTGGGCGTCGCCGTCGTCGGCTCGATGGTCACGACTCCTCTCACTCTGCCTCTTCGGCGGTGAGGACGGTGATGGTGGCGCCAGCACCAACGCCAACGCCAGTGCAAAAATCAACACCAACAGTCGTCGTCCAGCTTCGACTCTGCCCTCGATGACGCGTTTTCCCGACGCCCTCCTCGAGCCGGGCCTGCCTCGCGGCGTCTCGGAAGCTTGGAGCCCAAGAGCGGACAAGGGCCGACTGACGAAACAGGACTTCAAGCATCGTTTCCATCTGGTACCGACCAAATCGACGCCTGGAGGCGGCGCTGGCGGTGAGAAAAATCCGCCATCGCTCACGTCGGGCAAGGCTTCTGCCTCCGGCAGACCGTTCGGGGCAGAAGCCAACTGGCGCCAAACGCCACTGCGGGAGCCGGCCGGTACGCAAGACTGGGTCCTGGCGCCACTGCTGCAACAGCCTGCCAACGGCAGTCTCTGGTTGCGCGTCTCATCACGACGCATTCGCCTGATGGTGTTGGTGTACACACCGTCGCATAGGGACCAAGACCATTCGACAGAGCTGGCTCGTTCCGCATCGATGACGTCTAATCTTTCCGCCCGTACCACGACCACCACCACCATGACCAACTACTCGACGACCCAAACAACGACGGCAACCACGGCTACGACCATAGCCTCTCTGTTGACCGATTCGTCCAGGCCCTCTTCACCGGAGGCCGGATCTACGGACGCCTATGCGATGACAGGAACTCGCCCCTTCTCACCACCTGGTTCCACGGCTCTGCCGAACCTCTGGCTTCCCAGCGCCTATTGCTCGACCTATTATTATTGGGACTCGGGCCGACTCTCACATGCAATCGCTCTGCAAGACAGTCGAATTTACCTTAAGTCTGACGAGATCCATTTCCTATTGGCTAGTACCGAGCGGCGATACCAGCACCGGCACCAGCACCAACCCAGTCAAGGCAACAGCCAGAATCAGCGTCACCCACATCCACCACATCCACCAGGAGACAGGACTATATCCGGCTTGTGGACCGCAAAAGATCTGGACTCTTTAAAAGCCACAGTCCAATGTCCCGAGCTGACGAATGATCAGCTGACCATGCGCAATCACATGCAAGAAATCAAGCAGGATCCTGCAGCAGATCAGACTGTCAAATCACAGGTTGCTGCGGACGAAACGGCACTGGATACTTTGTTTATGTCCGAGGCAAAAACAGAAGGTGAGGCTGACGCTTGCTTATGGGAGGAGGAGGATGAGGATGAGGAGGATGAGGACGAGGAGGAGGAGGAAGAGGAAGAGGAAGAGGAGGAAGAGGAGGAAAAGAAGGAAGAAGAGCAGGCACATGAACAGGAAGAAGAGGAGGAGGAGGAGCAAGTGAAGAACGAGGAGGGGAGGGAGGCAGATGGGGTGGAAGAGGAGACGGAGGAAGGGAAGTGTGAAGGACAAAATACTGGCCTAGTAGCAGTAAAGATTGCAGAACAATGGGAACAGATCGCAGAAGATTGTGAGGTCAAGTTGAACCCGGCAAATTTGT